TTCAGGTCGCTCGGCTTCTGCGTGTAGAGGAAGCCCATGAGGATCGCGTTCATGCAGACCGACTTGCCCGAGCCCGTCGTGCCCGCGATGAGCATGTGCGGGAGCGACGCGAGGTCGACGATGAGCGGCGCGCCGGACGCGTCCTTGCCCAGGAACATCGGGAGCGTCATCTTCGACGTCACCTCGCCCGCGGACATCAGCTCCTTCAGGCGGACCTTCTCCTTGTGCCGGTTGGGCACCTCGATGCCGACGGCGTCCGTGCCTTCGATGTTCGGCACGATGCGCACGTTCACGGCTTTCAGCGCGCGGGCGATGTCGGACGAGACCGAGGTGATCTGGCTGACCTTCGTCCCCGGCGCGAGACGCACCTGGAAGAGCGTGATCGCCGGGCCGGACTCGATGCCCACCACCTCGCCCTTGACCTTGTACTGGCGCAGCGCGTGCTCCAGGTCCCGCGCCTGCTCGCGGACGAACTTCTCCTGCTCGCGACCGAAGTCCTCGTCCGGCTCCTCGAGCAGGTCCAGGCCCGGGAAGACGTACTTCCGGTCCGCCTCCTCCTCGTTCGCCCGCATCGCGCGGAGTTCGTCGAGGTCCGCCTGCGTCACGCTCTTGCGCTCGGCGCTCGAGAACTTGATCGGCAGCTGCCCGATCTTCTGCTCCAGCTCCTCCTGCGAGTACACCTGCGGCGCGCCAGCGAGGTCCTCCTCGTCTTCCTCGGACGCCTCCTCGTGCTCGGCCTCCTCGTAGGTCGGCTCGTCCTCGAGGTCCTCCCCGCCGCCCAGGCCCCCGGCCTTCTCGTCGAGCACCGCCTTGCGGGCGCGCTTCTTCTTCGACTTCTCCGCGTTCGCGATGAGCGCCGACGTCGAGCCGAGCCGCGCGTCGTCGTCCACGTCGTTCGCCCGCTCCCTCGCGAGCGCCCGCTTCTCGCGCGCCTCGCCGAATTTCCGCGCCGCAGCGCTCGCCGCGGCACTCCCGGGCCGGCGGACCAGGTTCTCCACCCCCTGCGCGAGCATCGCCGGCGCGACGAGCAGCCACCGGTCGAACGCCACCGTCAGGCCGATCGCGAGCAGCACCACGAGCCACAGCGACGCCCCGAGCACCCCGAACCGGCTCACCAGCGCCTCGGTCCCCGCCAGCGCGAGGAGCCCGCCCGCCCCCTCCGGGAACGTGGTCAGCGTCGGGAGGAACAGCGCGTGGAACGAGCTGAGCACCAGGCCCACGATCGTCAGGCCCGAGAGGCGGAACGCGAACTGGCTCACCGGGCCCCGGAACGCCGCGAGGACGAGCATCACGCCCGACGCGAGCACCGGCAGCCACACCCCGATCCCCAGAGCCAGGTAGAGCTCGTGCGCAAGAAAGGCCCCGGCCGGGCCGATCCAGTTGGCGGGCGACTCGTTCAGCGGCGCCACGGCGTGGCCCGGTGCGTCCGCCGGGTCGAAGCTCAGGAGTGAGGCCGCGACGAGCCCCCAGACCACGACACCGACGAGCCAGAGAAGCCGGCTTCGGATCTGGGAGGGGTCGTAATCGTCGTGTGTTTCGGCTCTGGCCATGCGCGCACCTTCCTCGTCAAAACGTATCCGATCGAGAGTGCAGTTATCGGCTGAACCCTGCGATCGGACGCTGTTTTCACGCGTCGCGTCGAGGGCCTGACTCCGGGGGGTGGAGCCCGGATCTGGCCGGTTTTCGATCGGGGTCTCGGTTCCGTGGATCCGACGTTGGCGGACCTGCGTAGAGCCGGGAGTCCGCCCAGCCGATGCAAAGCATGCACGGATGGCTGAATACGCCTTCTCGGGGGTCAAATCCCTTGATGGAAGGCCGATCAGGGATAGAGTGTATGTGTCGAGGTGGGTCGACCCGACGTCCGGGAAAAAGCAGAATTCAGGTCTCAGAAGAGAGAGCCAACCAGAGATGTCCAACTTGTCACGCGTGTCGTGTGTCCTCAGCGCCGCTATCGGTGTCGGGACGCTCTTCTCCCCCGCGATGGTCTCCGAGGCGGTCGCGGGCGGCGGTCTCCTGCCCGTGCAGACCACGCATGAGGACTTTTTCGAGCCCGGCACGCAGCCCAACGAGATCATCGATCCGATCCTCGACCCCGAAGAGTGCTTCTTCTGCCACGCGCTCTTCGACGACCCCGCCACCACCAACAAGCCCTTCCGCTGGCGCGGCTCCATGCACGCCCACGCCGGGCGCGACCCGATCTTCCACGCCGCGGTCTCCATCGCGAACCAGGACGCCGAGGGCGCTGCAGAAACCTGCTACCGCTGTCACATGCCCGAGGCCTTCCTCGAGGGACGCGGCGCCGCGGACGGCTCGCAGCTCACCGACCTGGACATCGATTCGGGCATCTCCTGCCACGTCTGCCACCGCCTCGTCGACCACGACTACGAATTCGGCGTGAGCCCCCTCGCCGACGAGCTGGTGCTCGCCGACATCGGCATCATCCCCAAAACCCACGGCAACGCGCAGATGGTCGTCGACCCGCTCGACCGCCGTCGCGGCCCGTACTCCTACGGCGCCGATGAGCCGGGCGGCGAGTTCTTCTTCCCGCCCCACGCCTGGATCCAGTCGCCCCACCACCAGACCGCCGAGCTCTGCGCGACCTGCCACGACGTCTCCAACCCCGCGCTGAGCCGCGTGGGCGGCGAGATCGGCTCGCCCTCGGACACGTACGTCCTCAACGCCCTCGGCGAGGAGCACCCCACGCTCTTCAGCAGCGACATGTTCCCCGAGCAGCGCACCTACTCGGAGTTCCTCTACTCCGCGTTCGGTGCCGGCGGCGGCGTCCCCGCGGACGACGACATGGATCCCTACGACCTCGACGGGCGTTTCGGCGGCAACATCGCCGACGGCGTCATCGGCTCCTGCCAGGACTGCCACATGCCCGAGCGTGACGGCTTCGCCTGCGTCCAGGAGGTCTTCGACCCGCCCTTCCGCGAGAACCTCTTCGACCACGGCTGGGTCGGCGCCAACGTCTTCGCCATCGACCTCATCCTCGAGCTCAACCCCATCGAGGACCCCGACGACTTCTCCGACCCCTTCAACGACGACTACACCATCCCGATGCTCAACCGCGCCCGCGCCGAGACCATCGAGATGCTGCAGCTGGCCTCGGACATGGAGCTCTCGGTCGACGACTCGATGCTCAACGTCCGCGTGATCAACCAGTGCGGCCACAAGCTGCTCACGGGCTACCCCGAGGGCCGCCGCATCTGGATCAACGTCCAGTACTTCGACGATATGGGCGAGCTGATCGACGAGCGCGGCGCCTACGACTTCGAGACCGCCACCCTCGATACCGCCTCCACCAAGGTCTACGAGACCAAGGACGGCCTCGACGCGACCATGGCCGCCGCCACCGGCCTGCCCGAGGGCGAGTCGTTCCACCTCATCCTCAACAACACCCGCTACAAGGACAACCGCATCCCGCCCCGGGGCTACGTCAAGGAGATCTGGGACCAGAACCAGCTCTTCCACGTCGGCTACGAGTACGCCGACGGCCAGCACTGGGACGACACGGCCTACGACATCCCCGCGGGCGCCGCGAGCGCCGAGGTGACCGTCTACTACCAGACCTCCTCGCGCGAGTACATCGAGTTCCTCCGCGACGCGAACACGTCGGACACCAACGGCCAGATCCTCTACGACGCGTGGGAGACCGTCGGCAAGTCGATGCCCATCGTCATGGACAACCAGGTCATCGACCTCGACACCCTCGCGACCATGCCGGGCGACGCCGACGGCAACGGCATCGTCGACTTCAACGACCTCGTCGCGATGCTCTTCCAGTTCGGCGCGCCGAACCCAACGCCGAACGCGGACTGCGACGGCTCCGGCGTCGTCGACTTCAACGATCTCGTCTGCGCCCTGTTCCTCTTCACGGAGACCGGCGCGTAACACGACCTGAACGCAAACCACACGATCGGACGAAGGCCGGCTCCCGCAGCCGGCCTTTTTCGTGCGCGGCGCGGCCCCCGCGCAAGCCCCGTGTTCGGTTTGCGCATTCTTGATCGAATCCTGATCGCGGCGCGCGCGTGACGGATATCGACCGCAAGTAGGGTGTCGCGACGCTCGGATCATCGACGCGGACGGGACACCCATGCGCACCACACACACACGCGCCTTCACGCTCATCGAGCTCCTCGTGGTCATCGCGGTCATCGCGATCCTCATCTCGATCCTCCTCCCCGCGCTGGGGCGAGCCCGTTCGCAGGCGCAGTTCGTCGAGTGCAAGAGCAACCTCCGCCAGCTCGCCATCGCCTTCACCGCCCACGGCTCGGACAACAAGGGCCTCTACTGCACCGGCGCCTCCGACAACCGCATGGGCCGGGGCGCCGGCGCGTTCGACAAGAAGGGCTGGATCGCGGACTTCGTCAACGGCGAGTACGCCCTGCCCGGCAAGATCCTCTGCCCCACATCCCCCGGCACCCTCACCCAGAACCTCCAGCTCAACCGCATCAACGAGAACCCCTTCCGCACGTACTCCGAGGCCGAGGTCGCGGAGCTCATCCGCGCGGGCTACAACTCGAACTACACGCAGTCGTGGTACACCGCCATGACGCAGATGAACGACCTGACGACCGAGCAGGACGTCAAGGACCCCGCCAACACCCTCGGGCCGCTCCGCCTCGACCGGATGCGCAACATCTCCCCCTCGCGCGTCCCCCTCCTCGCCGACCCCCGCGCCGACTCCGGCGACGCCGCCGAGATCGACGGCGTCTTCTACCGATCCGTCAAGGCCCTCACCGACGGGCCGATCTTCGACGGCACGATGTACAACCGCCAGAGCTACACCGACTTCGGACCCGCGCACATCTCCGTCGGCGGCTTCAACGCTGACGCGCACAACAAGACGCTCTGCAACATCGGCTTCGCCGACGGCCACGCCGACGCCGTCGAGGACACCACACGCTCCGGCGACCTCGAGTTCGCGCCCGAGCCCGTCTTCGGGCCCGGCGGCCCGCGCATCGGCTACGCCGACCCGCTCGACGGCGTCGTCTTCGGCGGGCTCATCCTCTCCGGAGACGACCTCGCGCCCCCATTCGATTGAACCGACCACACCGCCCGCGCCGCCGCGTGGCGGCGCGGCGATCACACACGAAGGAAAGAGAGAACACCATGAACCCCCGCACCCTCGGCGCCGCGGCGCTCGCCGGGACGCTCCTGAGCCTCGCCGCCCCGGCGAACGCCCAGGTCGTCATCAACGAAGTCTTCGAGAACCCCCCCGGCTCCACCGACGACCGGTGGGAATTCATCGAGCTCTACGGCCGGCCCGGCACCGACCTCACCGGCATGGCCGTCGCCGTGCTCAAGGGCGGCATCGACACCAACGGCGACAACATCCCCGACGGCGACCCGATCGACCGTGTCCCCGAGATCGACGAGGCCTTCGCCCTCGACGGGCTCACGCTCGGTCCCGAGGGCCTGTTCACCCTCTACCAGCGCAACGTCTTCGGCTCGAGCATCGAGGACAACCTCACCCCCAACCCCGCCTTCAACAACATGATGCCGATCACGGTGCAGAACCGGCCCTTCATCGACGGCATCGACATGGCCGTGCTCCACATCCCCACGACCGACACCGTCGGCATGCTCGCCAACGACAACTCCTCGACCTACGTCATCGTCCGCAAGCGACCCCACCACGAGATCATGATGGGCACGTCCGTCTACGCCGGCGGCTACGCCTTCCGCAAGGACGTCGATCACGACGTCAACTTCGACGGCAAGACCGATTTCGGCTCCGAGACACCCATCCCCATCATCGGCCAGTCCCCCTCCGCCGTGCAGCCCTTCCAGATGGTCGACGACGTCGCCTGGTCCAACAGCGGCGGCAAGGAGTACGTCCTCGATTCCGAGCAGGAGATCTCCGACACCCCCGGCTTCAACCCCGACGGCCTCTCCCGCATCAACTTCTTCCTCGAGAACCCGATGATCGGCCACCGCTCCCGCGACCTGGGAGGCGGCGCCTTCGAGATCCTCCCCACCCGAACCGCCGACGAGGAGTGGGTCTTCGGCGAGGTCCTCTCCGTCACCGGCGCCGGCGCGCTGGAGTACAACTTCGGCGTCGACGCCGACGGCTTCGTCCAGTACCGCACGCCCACCGACGCGAACGCCACGCCCTACGACGGCGCCTGCGACCCCGACCCGGACGACGAGCCCGCCGACGGATCCTGCGCGCCCAACCCCATGGGCACGTTCTACTTCGACGGCCTGGACATCCCCGGCTTCGCCCTCACCCCGGGCGGCTTCAACGATTTCGACGCCGAGACCCTGGGCGGCACCTCCGTCACGCAGTACCGCTTCACCCGCGGCGACTTCAACTTCGACGGCGTCGTCGATCAGGCCGACCTCGACCTCATCACCGCCCGCGCTGACGCCACCCTCGACGATCAATTCCCGGACATCTACGACAACGGCACCCCCGGCGACCCCTCCGACGACGTTCCCTTCATGAACTGGACCTGGCAGGGACGCGGCTTCCAGCAGACCCTCATGATGCTCGAGATGGACCTCGCCGACGGAGAGGGCGGCGTCAACGAGGTGTTCGTCACCGCCGCGGACATCCAGGCCGTCGCCGATCTGGTCCCGAGCGCCCTCTGCCTGGGCGACTGCGACGATTCCGGCACCGTCGATTTCAACGACCTCGTGTCCATGCTCTTCGAGTTCGGCACGCCCCCCGGAAGCCCGGGCAGCAACGCCGCCTGCGACGCCGACGAGAACGGCAACGTGGACTTCAACGACCTCGTGACCGCGCTGTTCCTCTTCGGGCCCTGCCCGTAAGGACGCTGGTGCAATCCCGACCGCTGTAGCAACCGCGACCGTGAGGGAGCGGACGCCCCCGCCGACCCGGTGCGTCGGCACACACAAACCCGACCACGCCGTGTTACGCGGCGTGGTTTTTTCGTGCGCACAGATTCACCCACAGCTGCAAGCACCGGCGTGTCCGCTCCCTCACGGTCGCGGTTGCT